ATATATATTATACACGAAAAATTGATGCTGCTTAATAGATTAGATCTTTCAAAGTGCCATAGGCACTTTCTTTGTGTTTCTGCAAGCGTATAATATTATTTTATTTTTCTATTATACATTATTAAGCATGATTTATTTTGTCAACCGCTGCATATATTCAGCAAATATAATTCTTACATAATCTTTAAGTATTGTTTCATACTCAGTATGACAATATGCTCATTCAAAAATTTTAAATGACGATTATATTGAGTTACGATGAATTTGCTTCTTATTACGTGACACAACTGAATAGATGGATGAAATGTAGATTATGTATAGTATATACATAATACTTATAATTTAGAATTACATAGTGATTTAGAAGAAGACTAATGGCGATGATTTGAAATTAAAACACTTAATATAATTATATGCAACAATGTATATTTCAACTCCGTGTTACGGAATGCCGTTAGATATTTTAGCTGCAAGTTACAGAAATATTAATATAAATCTTATTATTCTTTAAATTTGCGAGCTGAAATTTCCACATCAAAATTGGAAGTCCTTTTCGTCTTCGTCTTGTTATGCCACGTCATTACTTATCATCGCGATAACATCTTCGTATCTCTTTCACGTATATTTCACGCTACATTGCACGACGCGTTGCGACATGGATAGATGTCCGAAGATTTGCATATTTGATATATTCGATATTGAGAATGGATTCAATATTGCTAACATAAATATCTATTAAAATAGATCTATCCAAATAGATTACATTTCAAAAATTTTAATTTTTTAATCAGTATTAGTTGAAATGATTAGAGAAGGAAATAAAAAAGCTGATTTTTTTATCATGTGTGTGTAAATTAAAAACATATTTTATGTAACTGTAATGTATCATGCATTATCAGATAAATTTTTGGTTTAATTAACTTTGACATTATTACATCGTAGATTATTAGAAAGATCAATATATATATATATATTAAAAAATATTTTAAAATTGCTTATTTTTTAAATAATAATTTATGTGTTTAACGATTGGTATGACCAATATAATAAAATTATGCAAAAATGCTTGCGTGTATTGGTTAGATATATTTATTGAAACACTTGAAAAACTTGATACTGCTCTTTCACATTTAAAATATTGACATATTTCGGACATATGTAAATGACAAGAAATGCTCGTGCACGTTAGCGGAAGATGTATGAGAGTTTGTGACAGATTTTAGGAACAATTGCACACAACAATTGGCGGTATTTATAAATAAATAAAATTAACAATTAACACTATGTATGTTTGTAGAGAGAAAAAGAGAGAGGATCTCACATATCGTACATGTTTCGACTGCCGTTCGCCGCTGGCAGTGTCTTCAGCGCCTCGATGTTAGACACTTTGCTTTATCAAGCATTCGTCAAGGATTACGTGATAACATTCGTGAGATTATTATTAGGAGTGGACCAAGCGCCAGGATCTGGGTTTCTGACGTCGGTGAATAATTGTTTAAAATATATATTTTATTAATATGTGAAATATAATATAAGTATAAGAAGGATGCAATTGCAACAGCAACCTGTCAATAGAAAAATAATTTATTCAGACAATTTTTATATAGAAGTTGTTATAAAAAAGAATCTATTTAGCTTTATATTTGTTATTGATTGTCATCAATCACGATAATGATAATTGCAGATGCGTATAACAAAGGAAGACATGTGGATAAGGACGTACGGCAGGTTGTATCAGAAACTCTGCTCGACCACTTGCGAGATACCAATTGGAATATACAGGACGCAGGACACTACCGTATCCGATTCGTCTCACGTAAGTAATATCACATTTCTCATCTAGAGAGAAGTCTAACCGAAATAGTTTGTTACTTGTACTTTTTATAAGGATAGGAAAAGAATCTTTGAATGGCGGCTGTGAGTAGCGCATGCTTGTGCTCTCGCTCTTTTTTTTTTGGTTTTGTTTCCTGCCCCATCTCTCTTCTCGTGGCATTTCTCGGCCTAATCCTGCCGCGTGTAACTAACGAGCCGCGGGACCGTTGCATCTTGACGAACTGACTCTCATAGCACGTTATCTTTCCAGTTCATTGATCTCTGCGTTCTTAAATTTGCATTGTGCTAGATTTAGTATGCTCTTACAAAGTTGCTTTCCTTGATAATCTCCGATATGTGATAAAGTACTGAAGAATTGGCAAATTGATAGATTTTCAAAAATGTTTAGAGCTACGTAGCTTTAATTTTAATATATCAAATCCTTTTTTCCACGGGAAAGCAAAAATGATTTATTGATATTATAGTGCAAAATGATATAGAAAGCGTTTCGATAAAAATACAAGAGCTCGTTTGTGCTACGTATTGAGCATCCTTAGTGAGAAACACTTACTTCTCTGGATGGAAGGAAGATCTCGAATCGTTTACATCGAGTGACAGCAACGCGCTGCGCTCGGACGCGAAATACGGCACGGCATCGCGGCGATGCGCTATCATTAGTAAGGGTAGAATTGCTTGTCGTTTTAGCAGGGCGATTCAGACGCGGAAAGCGACGCCGGCGTCGGTGTGACGTACAAGATGCGTCATTCGGCGGCAGCATCGTGCCTTGCGAATTGCGCCACCCGCGACAAGGGTGCATCTGCTGTGAGTAAAACGTCGACGTGGTGGCTGTTCTCCTCTCTTTTTCTCTCTCTCTTTCTCTCTCTCTCTCTCTCTCTTTCTTTCTTTCTTTCTTCCGACTGTTTTGTACATATATTTTCATCACGTATACTCCCCCTCCCCTTCCCGCCTCTCTCAATCTATCGCTCTATACCTACATCTCCTTTTTTCTTTCTTTATCACGCTCACATATATGTCTGATGGACATCCAGACTCGTCTGCCGCAGCACAGCAGCGCATGTAAAACGTCGTTGCATCCCCGATTGATTATACTCGTGTCAGGAATTCTTCGTCTTCACAAGTCGAAGACGTTCTTATTTATTGCTTAGATTTAAGGTCAATCGATTGTGACGTTCGGCTTCTATCGAAGAGGTGTGATTATTTTAATGATATCACTTTAATCATAACATTATTGTAATAATATCTTGCAAGCCACTTGTTGCATCTGGCGCATAATATAATGATACATAAATATACATTTTTATTAAATTAATTTTATGGCATTAGATAACTCATACGTGAATATATTAACTTATCGTTTCTCTTTCGAAAAACTTATATTTCTACATTTATACGACACTTTGCCAAATCAGATAATATTAAAATTAAAAACAAGCTTCTAACACGTTCTACAGAGACGCAATACTTTATACTGCATTTTATAAATATAATAATTTAATTAGTAATGTTGGATGCACAATGTTTATGTAAAATTACGTATAAATAGAAAAGAATGGTAACAATGGCACTATTAATGCTACCTCGTTGATATTACCGATCGTCACAGCAGACTGCCTGTGTGTCTCAGCGAGTGCATGTATACTAATACTTCATCTCTCTCATATATTGCTAGTATTCGGTGAGCCTCGGCGACGAGGCGCGCGACAACCACGCGCAGCAGATCGAACGGGCGGAGATTGCAAACCTGGTGCGCTCGCGGATGGAATCGCTGAATCTACCAGTCGCCGATTACGACGATGTATCGGAGAAGCGCAGCAGCCTCTCCTACGTGATCATCAACCCGAGCTGCGACCTGAAACTTGAGGAGGGCGATATCGTCTACCTGGTGCGACCGAGCCCGTTCTCCGCACAGAAGACGTTCGAGCGACACAACTCTCGGCGCAAAAGCAACATCAGCTTCTGCTCGGCGCAGCTAGTGTCACAGATGAGCGCCGCGGTCGCGGCTGCGGGTCTGCAGACAGGTGGTCCGGGAAGCCGTCGTGGATCCAGCATAGGTCTGGCCAGGGCGCCACCCCTCAGCACGACAAAATCAAACTCGTTGTCTCTACCCGATAGTCCCACCGTGGCCGGAACTCTGCGCGGTCGCTCAAACTCGTTGAGAGTGGTCGACGATATTCTGTTGCGACGAAGTAATTCTCTGAGACAGAGCCTGACGACGACGGCCAGGCGGAAGAGCAGTCTGGAGGATATCGGTCTGGGAGCGCTCTCGCATCATTCCAATCATAACCCGATCAAGATCGCCTTGAACGGCTCGATCGGCCTGGAGGTGACACCGCCGGAAGAAGGCTCGCAGGGCGGCGGCGCCAGCAACACCGGCATCCTCGACGTGGGCCTGCCCTCCATGCCCGAGCTTAACGCGGCTTTGGGGCCCAGTCTCGGCGCGGGCCTTGGTGGCTCCCTGGGTGGCCTCTACGATCCACCCTCGCTTCAATGCCCGATAGGTTCGCCCTGTCAATCCCCCCAGATGCAAGGTGCCACGCAGGATCCGCAGCATATACAGGGAACAATAGTATGATATAACCTTATGTGGGGACGCAGGCTCTCCGGCGTGACGCGAAACAAATGGCTGTAGCGTTCCCACATTCGGCGTTCAAAGCTGGACGTCGAGAACGGCGTCTCTACGGCAATCGTAGCGAATCGGTAAAGCAACATTTTTCTGACTTGATTAAGCCGGATAAATGAGACGGCCGGAGAGCAAGGTGTTTCGATGAAACAAATCACATTGGGCTGGTGACAGTTCTAAATGTCGAAGGATGTTTCGCAACGTCGAGTAGAGTAAATTGGGGTGAGATTACATCGGCAAGGATTTGGTTTTAGTTTAGAACTGATTTCGTCGACAATATTCCAACTTTGTTTAATTTTCCATATCTTTCTACACATTACAGTTCTTATGTAGTGAAATATGTAAAATACAATAGATATATATAAAAAAATTATTGCTGGTATTTACAAAAATAATCGATAAATCGATAAAAAAAATGCTGATAGAAATTTGGATGCTTACTTTTTCTATCTCGGTTTTTTGGCGACAAGTTAATAATTGCTGAAATATTCTCGCCTTAATTTACAGTAGTATTGTCTTTTTCGTTTTGAGGCGGCGCGATTCATTATTAATTCGTGGACCTAAGCGCTGGTATATCGAATCGTAACTGTGATATGTCAGACTCTGATTCCCCACGGAACTATAGTCTTCTGCTTGAAAGGTCTTGATGCTGTCGCAATCGTGGATGAAGAGTCGCGTCGAGTATCAGACGGAAACTAACACGCGGTGATTCGTTGTTAGTTAAAGAGCGATGTAACGCTACATTATGAGAGCTTCATTTCGGTGTACCTTACTTTTGTAACTTGTACCTGTAGCAGGCTGCGTTCTTAAAACGTTTTGCTCTCTAGGTCGCCTCTAGCGTCCTGACGTCCATGTATGCGACTTCATTCATCTGAATGTAGATCGCTCGAGTTAACGTTATAGTGCGAAAGGCATTAAAAAAAAGTGCATTATATGATAGCTGAACACATATTCCGAACCACTTGCGATCAATACAAATTATCATAAATTAATATTACTTTCTATATCTGGAATCCGTTTTCAAAATATGCCATATTTTTGTTAAGTTTATATTTGGTTTAATTTGACAGTAATCGCTGTGAATTTTGTACATTTTTTTATAATCGAACAATTAAATTATTATAGAATTACAAATTTTATTTATACATAAAAGTGTTTTGATCAATATATAAAAAGTATAGTATATATTTAATATACACATATATGTTTAATATAATACATGTTAAAATAACATAATGCAATGGAAAAATATAAAATATGTATTAGATATTTTTTAAATTACATTACAAAATTATATAAAACTGTTGTCATTTCTGAGAAGAGAAATTATTTCTTTTCTAAAAGATAATTTATCTGTAAATTATTTTCTTATTTAATTTTAAGAATGGATTCTTTCCTCTTTATAATATATACAAAAATAAAACACTCACACTGTTAATTATTAACTTCTAAATTAAAATCGCAATTGATTCATAGAAGCCGTTCGCCCATCGTTCATTTCATACATTTTCAGGATATGAAACGAGAACATGATAGGAATATTCTACAACGCACTTCTCGATTCCTATTTATCGTCGTGCTCAGCGATCGAGCGCGAATAATTTTATATTAGAGGAACTTACGGGACGCGAGAAAGAGTCTATTATACATAATATTAAAGATACGATGTATGACCATTTTAATCATATCACGCGAGAGTGCCGCTCGCGCGGTAATCACCGTTATATTCTACGTAAATAGAGGAGAAAGAGTATTTTAGGCAAGATTTAAGTGCTTAGAAACACGTGCGTATTATCGTGACTTTTAGCGTAATTGATATATCGTTCACGGTGGATATAACGTCGAGTCGCAGGACGATTGTCGACTATGCGCGATCCTCCGTGACGACGACGAGATTTACGGCCGATGTTTCAAACCAATTTAAAGACAAAAATGGCGAGATGATGAATGAGAATTGATCGCAAATGAATCGCACGAAAGCTATTACTATCTTCTTCTTCTTCTTAATAATAATTTTATATTAGTTTCAGTCTCTATTCAGAGCACAAAACGTATCAGAAAAAAATCAGTTGTTCTTAGCGAGTGAGTATATTCGCGATTATTCTCGTTTGAATAATCCGTTCAATTAGTTAGTCGAATACGAGGATCGTCATTCAGGACCAGTTGCATCGTCTGAATTATGGTTATTTATCTAGCTGTGAATAGCGATTTCTTGTATCTTTCTAGATTGTTAAAATATAATATAAACAAAATAGAATACACAGACAATTATAGAAGTTGAAAAAAATCTTCGAACAATTTTTAAAGAATATTTGAAAGATTAGCAATGAGAGAGAGAGAGAGATAGAAATATTGTCTATACAAGATATGGCTGCATTATGGTTAGTAATAACAAGGTCGATGCAACCGGTTACAATACAATTAAAGTTTTAACGTAGCGCCGCAATCGTGGCGTTCGCAGCCAAATGCAATCGTTTGTTGACCAATTTACACATTTCTTCGACCAAATGAGTCGTATATTATCGAGTACCTGCTTCGATATTACTTTCATTAAATCTAGCTAGATCGGCCTTATTATGTGCGACCAGAAGTATATTCCACGAAACAGCTTGCAAGTTTTAAAATTAGTTTTTATTATTTTATCAACGTTTGATAAGTAAGAGAACATCTTTACGTTCTAATAAAATACTAACAGTTGCAACGCGAATAATAGTATATTGATGATGATAAAGAGAGCAAGTTTGGATATATAAAAATTCTTATAAATACTCTATATTAATTTTTTAATTATTGTCTAATTTGGAAAATCCAATCTATGACATTGATTATGAAATAAAACATTATTTCTGATTATTTAACTTTATATAAAATGTAATAAAAATGCTTTCCATAACTAGATTATAAAACAAGCTGTTACTATGTTTGCATAAAAATTTAATAGGTGAAAATGCATAAAAGGTCACCTCTCACCGATTTTATCGCCACTTAGGTGTGTTATAGGTAAAGTTGTTCTAAATAATTCCCCGCAAAACTCAAGTGGGGGACGACATTGGTTTAGATTTAGAAGATATAACAAATTAAAGTTTAACAATTTTAATGCTTTTCCTTAGGTGGTGATAAAATCGGTGAGCTGTAACCTTTTATGCATTTTTATCATTTAATATTTTATAAAATAACTGATTTATAAGTTGACCTAATTTAGATTTAATTCAACTATAATAATTAAAGATTAAAGTAAAAGTCATATTTTTTCAAGAGCAAATATAAAATGCTCAACACAAAAACTAAAGATTTCCAGATTTCAACGCCAAAATAATTACGTTAATTTATCTTTGCTAAGGTAAGGCGTGAGGCCGGTCTTATAAATGCTTTGCATAAAATCAAAATCAAATGTAAGATCAGCGCACCATCTCTTTGGCTTGCGACTCGCTACGCGTTCGATTGAGATTATCAGAATTATCGTATCTCGTACGTGTCGAGTTATCATATTTTATTCCAATATCGAAGCAAAATATATTATTTTCAGTATTTAATCGCTCACGCGTTTAAAATTTAAACTTTGAATTTCTAATCATTTCGTTCTCTCTCACTCTGTATTACTCTTTACCCTTCGTTAGCTCTCTATCCTTCTCTCTTCGATTATCGTAGAGGAGAGTGTGTTACCTTTGCTGACGACGATGACCTATAGACTTTTATATGTAAATAGCATGCGATTGAATTACCTTTCGGAGGAGAATGATGAAAGATTTTCTATGTTGTCAACATATAGAACAGGTTTCTGCATCTTGTAAACAATGAGCTAATACGAGTTCGTTTCAAATACACAGTAATCGCCTTAGAGAGAAACTCGGTAGTTTTATATAATTTTATCGAAAAAATTTGTGAGACAGGACCGCCGCCTAATGCAGTGACTATCATTGCGATATGCTTTCATCTATGATAATATGATTGGAAAATGAGTGTGAAGAAGATTATTCATAATGATTTTGTCACATTGCAAAGAGGAGTCTTCAATTTTCGATTAGAAATGTATTGCTTACAAATTTGTCATATATTCTTCTAAATCCGTTTTCAATTTAATTATTTAAGAAAGAGTCGCGTTGAATTTAAAAATACTTCTTGATTTTAAAATGACACAATGTATAATAGACGCTAAATTTGCTTTTTTCAGTTGGAGAAAGTATTAATGAGGAAATTACATTGTGAAATTGCAGAGAATAATTTAACGCTATAGATGCATTGAGGGCGTCCGCGTGTCCTCGCACGTTACCAGAGCGAAGAAAATCATTATTTGCGGAGAATGTATATACTTACAATTAATTATGTATAGAATTAACCCAGTATAATGTGACCTGACTCTTCATAGCTGAACTCAGATCAATAATCTATAAAGTATTACGTTATTAATGCGGAAATCTTTCATGAAAAGCTTGCTGCTTTTGAGGAAAATCGTTCGAATTACATGTCGAATGAGAGAGAGAGAAAGAAAGAGAAGAAAGAGAGAGAAAGAGAGAGAGAGAAAGAGAGAGGTATATGCAATTTTTGCATAATATAAAATGAGTACAATGATTTATCGCATGCAATGCGTGTTTGATTCTTCAAAAAAAGCAGAAAATTTAATTTAATTTTATTCTTTGAAAGAAATACCATACATACATACCTATTACATTCACTTAAATTTATATTAAAAAATGTAAAATTTGCGAGAGTAGAAATAAAAATGTGATTCACATAGTTCTCTCTTATTGTTCTTATCTAATTGATCGATTAAAAGATTTGGTACAATTCAAAAAATTTTTTATGGAGAAATTTGTCCATTCTTTTTTTCCATTCCGCAAAATTTCGCGAAAACTATCATGTGTCGATAAAATATATTATTATTAATATTTGTAATTTTTCTAGCTTAATTCAAATAGTAATCAGGTTAAAACACACAGACGACTAATAATCAAATTCTTTTTCCCTTTATTGACATCCAACATTTTATGACGATTTTATTCATGTTTAAGAAATTTAAATTAAGGAATTTAATTAATACCGTCATAATAATGCAAAAATTATTTACCACATTCGTGAAAACTCGAAGAGTTTTTTTTTTAACGTTTATAAAATCATTCGTTAAAGTTCTCGTGCTTTTAGAGCGCAAAAATACATATACGCTATCAAGCGTTTATAAGTTTTCTGAAGGTTTTTAAAGAGTGTGCAACTAATTTTTCATAAAATGCCATTTATCTTAAAGCAATTCTTTTTTTTTTGTTAATTTAGAAATATGATATTCCTTACAGCTATTTTACATAATGTAAAATATTAGTTCATATTTTCTCCTATACTTAATGTTGCATTTGAATCGGTTATCTAATTCTGAATTTGAGTTTTGTTTAATATTAAGATTAATATCAACGTGACAAAAATTTTAATAAAAATTTTTCTATCGATATCTGTACAAAATATTTTATGCAACGGGTTCTCTTTTGTCTTCAAAGACATATTTTAATTTAATAGTATTACTTGCAAAATCAAAGGAATAAAAGGTGTTTTGTTTTGGAGAAGTGATCAAATTATGTACTTTTTTAATAATACACACACACACTATTCTATTTACAATCATTTTGTGATGATCACATTGTGATTAATCGATTAGAAGTAACCATATTTGAAAGCCCGAATTTGTTTTCCATTTCGAAGAAAAATGCACGTGTCTTCTCGTGAATGCACAGAATATCATACAAGTTCCTTCGAAAGTTTAAGCAAGAGCTTGACGCACCTTGAATGAGTTTTCTTCGAATGGCGTGAATCTTATAGAAACGTTCAGCAGGATTGCCTCTCTGCTTGCAATCTCTGGCAATCCAACAAATCGCAATAATTATATCACATTTTAAGTGCTGCGGATATATGTTTGTCGATCGTACGCGAGAGAGTTTATCGAACGTCTTTCAACTGGGACGTACGTTCGAAAATAGATTGCGCGTCTACGATGCTCTCAAGAGTTGAAAATGTCGGCCAATGAATGTGGCATGGAACACGAATGAGGGGGATGCGGAAATCTTCGTTCACGCTACTTTTTCCCCGAGAAATGACGAACGAGATTGGAAACCATTTAGACGTTCTCCAATCAGAATAAAGTTCGATCGACGCGAACGTGCCACCTTGATGGTGCAAAGTAACTTCCTTTTTTTCAGGCTTTAAGGGCATGCTTGTAACGAGGTAACTCGTGTTTTCAAAGAAATTTAGGCAATTATATATATAAAAAAAAAAAAAAAATATATATATATATATATATATATGCGACGTTGTAACGCAATGCGTGCGATGTGTGCATGTAAATTTATTATAAATAAATTATTATAAATCTCCAAAATCGGAAAACTGCTTAATTAGTTGTATTATTATTTAAAAAATTTATTTCATTATTATATTAAGTGTGTATTAATATAATCACATTTTATAGTATATCATCTCGAGAGAGAGAGAGGGAAAGACTAATATGTAAGTATTGCAGGAACTTATTTCATGCGCTCATTCCAAGTTACAGTTTTCACAAGAAATTAGAACAATAAAATGATGTTTTAATTCTTTTATGACTAAATATGTAGCAAAAATTAATAATTTTATACAGAATTTTATCACAACATAAAAAAAATGCGCACAACATTGAATAAAAATCTTTATATCAAAGACTCAAGAGAGTCATTTCGTTTTTTGATATAATAGAAGAGAGATTATTAAATATTTTATTATAAAAAAATATAACTACCTGATATTTTATCACTTAATAAAGTTGGAATGTACAAAGAAAAATAGAGCCAGAAAGTTATAAATACTTGTACGTGGAATGTTTATTCTACGTGTATGCACAAAGTGTTATATATACATTACATATATTACGCGTAACGACATCTGCACGATACATAAATACAGAACTTTATTATCGACAAAAGTGGATCTGGTTAACCAGCTAACAAACGTTCTTTACAGGTTTCAGTACATTTTCGGTGAACTGCCCTACTATATTACCTCTTGGATGATAACATGCCACTATGACGCACGTACCGTCTCGCTTAGCCATAGCAATACCCATTTCAGTCGTGTTTTTCCAAACAATTTGTGTAAAGTGGCCTATAAACAAAAAATAGAAAAAAATGTTGCAAATATTCACATACACATTTTACTTATAATTTTGTCATAAACTAAATCTTAATATATTCTAATTTTTATAATGTCAAAAAAAATGTTAGATATATTGAATATAATTAGGCAAAATGATAAATATAATAAATAGACATAAATAGAATCGAATCGATCTCAAGAGCAAGTTTGTTTTTTTAATTCGATTTAATTTTTTTTTACATTTTATTTGCTCTATTTCTATGTGTATATATTATATACATTCTCCATTAATTTTCCTTGGAGATCATAATTATAATATCAAATTATATAGAAATATTAATTTATACATACATGTATTGAGAACTTTCGGCTCGACGCCAAATTTGTGCTCTTTTTTCTCGGAATACCACTTTGAAATGACTTCACGCGCAGAGACGATCAGTTTGGGATCGGAACACTGCATCGAATATATATTTTCGCCGTACGGAGACGAAGATTGAGGTATCAATTTATTTGTGTTTAGCAATGTGTTCGCCCAGGCCTACGGATAAATAAACATAAATAACGCATTTGGTTTTTATGCAATGTTTTACGATCTGTCTCTCAATTAGTCACAACCTAGTCTAAAATAAATATGAAAAAAATTAAAATTAAAATTATATAATAATATATATTTCAATAAATTATAATTACAGTTATGCCCCCTCCCCCCAAAAAATTACCTTGGCAGCAGCTGTTAATTCTGGACTCAATCTTAAGTCCGTTACTCGATGTTTCCTTCTGTACTCATTGTGAACTAGCAATGCTTCCTGCTGCCATGCCTGCTCATCTATCGTATACTGTTGCTTAAAGTCGGTAAAATTAATTCGTTTTGCAGGACTAGTCTCCACAGGTGGAAGAACATTTTCCGTGAAACTGCCTAGGAAATTCCCAGCGGGATTGTAGTTACACACAACGTAAACTTCACCGTTTCGATTCCTAGCCATTCCCACACCTAATTCAGTACTGTCTCTCCAAATCACTTGAGTGAAGTGACCAGTCTTCAACGTTGTAGGTTCCTTTCCATATTGATGCTGAGTTTCTTCAGCATACCTGCAAAAAGCAAAAATTTTAATTTAAGTTTCAATTAAGATAGTTTAAATTTCTAATTAATTAAAAAAAAATTTAACATGAATTATATATAAATACAATCAAAAATATTTGCAATAATAATTTTAAAATCAATAAATCTTTTTTTTGAGAGAGACGCGTATTAATTTAAATGTATATTAATACAAAAGGACACAAAATAAAAATTTTATTTTTATTGTACCATTATGTTAATTATGCTAAATATATGTTTAATAATAAAATGATAATAATATGATAAACACAATAGTTTATATAATACAATTTTAATAATATGCAGTTCAACAATAAATGACCAATCTAATGATTTTACCATTCATTTACTGGCTCTTCGCCACCAACGACAGTTTTTGGATTGGAACTCCACATACAATACAGATTTTCTCCATAGTCAATGTTCGCTCTGTGTTCTAATCTACCCTTAGTCGCCAATATGTTAGCCCAGTCTTGACTTGTCTTGCACAGCTGTAAATTAATGAACGCTGCTTATGGTTTCCGGTGTAAAGACGATAAAATAAATGCTTCCAAGAACTTCCGAGAATGATGAAGAGCACCGCGGGCATAAACAAAAAAATCGGGTTTCCTCGATTCTCGGAAGTTGTTTGGTGGGGGCTACAATTTTATTGCGGTGCAGAAAGAAAATCGACAATAACCTGTTTGCTGAGTCGTAATGGCGGTGCTCCATGCCGCGATCGGTAGAAATTGTGCGTGTCGAGGCAGACGTTGATGAATTCCTTCGGAGGCCCCGATCTGCGCACAGACGGTTTACGCGTGTCAGTCTTTGTTATCTACAACACATAGAGAAAACACCGTATAACGGACAAAAATCCGCAGATACGTTAATAGAATCTATACTTATAAAGATTGTGATCAGGTAATTAATTATACTTTATCATTATGACTGTTTATTTTGTTTCTTTTAAACACTGCTTATTATTTATTCATTAAAACGCAGCGTGAACAAAACGAACACTCGCGATAAAAAGCAATATAACCATACTAATGGTAAAAGCTAGGCAATGTCCCTAATAACTTGAACGCGAAACCATCTTTAAGTGGGGTATACTAACCGACACGAATTTCCCATCGTCCTATAAGAACACGATCATCTTCTACACGATCAGGGAACTCGGAAACTTTTGCTCGCGCTTCTGCTTCACGTGATCGCTTGTTAAATTTCTCTCTCTTGCTGGTAGAGGTTTAATCGATAATATATGAATGACGGGAAAATAATGTATTTTTCTGATGCAAGTCTGAAGATTAAATTAAAGATCGCATTTTGGTACAGCTCGAAATAGCATGAAACAACGATAATTCTCGTGGGACTCAAACTGGCGGTAGCTTCAGAGCTCATCGACGCGATTGTCTGTTTAATTATTATATCTATCATTCGTGCAACGTAGGCAATGACTTAATAAAATAAAAACTAAAAACATAGCTCATATTATATTGGAGCCAATTAAATATTGTTTGTCCTGATAATCTCTCAAAATTATTAGTTAGAAAAATTAGAGATTAATAAGTAGATTATATATACACATATACATACGCATACAAGCGCGGAAAAAATAGAAAAGAATTGCTGTAATAAAATTAAACAAAATTCAAAAAAATTCTTTCAATAGCGTCAAATAATTGACTAAAATCATGGAAATTATTAAGACATTGAGCCTGCCGTTTGATGAATATGCATCAATTTATGCTACAAATCACCCGACCGTTTTGCGGGCAAGGGCATTAACGTAAGTGCAAAAACTTCACGCGTGTACGATGAACAAGCCGAGCGAATGGGAACGCGACAACACGCGCGCGCGGAAAATGGAGCGGAAAAATCGATTCCGCGAGCGCGCGAAGCGCAATTCGAGCAAATTAGTCATCGCGCGGATCAAACAATCGCGTGGCGCAATGATATACCAATCGTTCACAATCGTGCAAAACGGTCAGACGTGACTCTCGAAAAAGGAGCGATCCTGAGTCATCACCAGATGGCAATGCACCTCTCCGTGAAGAGAGTCTTATGGTGTTTAGGCTCCTTTCACACATTGCACGCTACGTTACGTGTGGCGAGCTGCGCTTTCCAACCGGCTAATTTACCAAGTAGGCTGAAACCAAAAGACTGCCTCGATACGAGAAGATTGCAGCAAAGTGTGATGTGACAGATTAATGAGAAACTATCTGCCAAAGAAAGTCGTCTCGTCAATAAAGTCGAGATTAATATTTCTGTCCCTCTAATTAAGATGACATTTTTTTTCTTATTTACAATGCATAAATATGTGACTTTAGGATTATCTAATATTGCTGTTCTAGTACAAAAAATTCTATTACAAAGTATTGAAAATCTAATCTAGATAACTAACATAATTTGCTAGTATAAACAGTTTGTAATGCAATTTTTCTCATCACAAAAAAAGTATTTAATATAATTAAATCTAGTTTTTTCTTTATAAAATATAATCACCGCGTTTGAAAGAGGCAGAATTTATCGTATAGCACAAGTAGCACAATCTAAATGCTTATTAGCGTTACATGCAATGTTGTTAACTCACGTCATAATACTATTTGCTTCCTTTATTTGGATACGCAACATAAACATTTACATCGTGCATTTATGAAGATATGCATCTTAGAGTTTCTACCGTCTCGGTTTAAATTATTTTTCTATGTTTTTATCTCTTTTTGTATATTCTATTTTATGTACTTTAGCACCTTTAACCTTTGAAGCTTTAATTTCTTCGATTTTCAGTTCCATAACTTCAGAAATTCAAAATTGTACAACTTTGATTTGTGTAGACCTTGGAATTGTTGGATTTTGAAACACTACATATTTCGAACTTTGATCTTGCAACTATAAATCCTCCGATTCGCTTTTTTGAATATCTGAAATACAGGTAATTAATATCGCAATAAATGTTGTTACCTGTGAAGACGAGTATCTCGCGGAATCGGGAGACGCCGAGGAGGACCTGGCGCTGCTGTAAGACATGCCATCGCTCCCTAGACTGCCATGAAAACTACCGTGTAAAGAATTCGACAATGGACCCGGTGATGCCGGCGATGCCGTCAACGGGGACTTCGATCTTACCGAGTCCGTCCTCGACCTGAAAGTAGACCGATTACACGGTATACGAAGAAATACAGAGCTCTTTTTTGTTCCAGACAGTACAGCGCGACGCGCAGTATAAACACTGAATGCTTCGAACAAGCAGATCGAGTTTATTGAAATTTTTTTGCGTTAGAAGTGACTCTATTTCAGCAGAGATATAAGTTAGAAGTGACTATTTCAGCAGAGATATAAGTCAAATTTCATTTAATCTGAATATATTTGCTTTAAAAAGAATTCCTTATAACTTAATTATTTCATATTCTGCAAAAATTACAAAAAGAAAAAGTCATGAATTATATTCTTATTAATAATTAAATTTCAGAAAAATATAAACTAATGAAAGAACGCATTAAACAATTTTTTAGAAGGAATTCTCGTTAAAGTAATGATATTAAAGAAATTATGGAACTAAAAGAAGTAATAATCATATTATATTCTCTATTATCTTTTTCATGCAACATTAGATAGATTAGAATAAAGATTATTATAAATCGAATACATGTATTGTAAAAATTCAAAAATTCCAAGACAAGAAAAAAAAACAATTTAATTAACTAATTTATCTTATAATTTTATTTGTTAAAAATGATATGATTTTCTTCCTTTGATTCCGATAGTCAAACAGGTAATGACATTAAAATATGTGTGACATAAAGCTTCGTGAGTCAGAATGTGTTAAAAAGATTGTGCAATTGATCCAAATATTTTTGTGATAAAAGCGTAATAATAAACTATAATCGAAAATTGCGTCCTTATCTTAAATTGTAAATCTTATCTTATACGCGCATCAAAAGCGCGTTTAAGAAACGTCATTGCTTCTCTGACGAAATTCTCAAAGACGCAAATTATAAACAACGATATAAAATTATATCATCTTAATGCAACTTAATCTATTATTATGTCTGACATTCTCCTTTTATTTTGATAAAAACGAATTGCTTTTTTATATTATTGTGTTATTACATGAGTACAAATGATATTTGTGACGTATAATTTCAAATAGTGCCCTGATACATTTTATACATCTCGATGAAACGTAAGCAAGCTGAAAGCCATTGAAATGACGATGTGCGATGATCTCAATCATACGGTCGATTATTATGATATGCGTACTGGATCAAAGTTATTGAATGTGAAGACATCTAACAATAGCAGCATTGTGCAGTTACAAAGATGTCTCTAATCTAGTCCTCTAGAGTGTTTCATGACAGGCTGAATACTGTTTGCCCGTGTAAACAATTCATGCCGCAGATATCTAATCATTATACTCTTATAACGCAAATCCGCGATCGTTTCGCGCAAAATTGCACGTTGACTAATGAATAGCGATCTTGCCGGACTATGCAGTTAAAACTTTCCATTATGATACGAACGGATACAACGTAGAGAAACGACTGCCGTAAATTGCGTTGCATACGTAATTCTGTCAGATATAAATGTCAGATATGATTTAAAGAAAATGAATACATTTTCGGAAGCCAGACATTATTCGATGAATTCGAGAATTTGGTTATTTATTATGATACGTTTATAGTTCTGAGCTGCAAGTTCAGAGAATATTTTATGTCCGTTTTTTAATGGATTTCCAGTAATTTGCAATTCGACATCTGTTTATTGAGCAAACGCACCAATAGTATGTCAAACGGCAAAAACGTATTTAGAGCAGAACTTGCTTAGAATATAAATCTTAAAAACTTTCAAGAATTGTCGCGCACGAAAAGATTTAGTTGCATGTAAATTTTAATTAAATAGCTGCATTCGAATATGAAAACAAAGTGAAATGAAAGGATATCCATTTGTATCATGAAAAATAACATTATATTTTTGCATTTGTGTAAGGGTTAAAATATTGGTACGATTGTATAAAAATTAACCAAGCAGTTAAATAATAAATTTATTTAAATTTAAACTATTTCAGTATTCAGCCCAAAGAGACGTTACGACATCAAAAAGCCAAAGAAGAGCTGAAAGTCCTAAGGCTCTCACTGGGCCTTGTTAAATATCACGTGAAATGAAATAGCGGCTTCATCGTGCGCTCACGTATGTACCATCACATACGTTTTTACGAGCACGGCTCGTACTTCCTTCTTCCTACGAGCCTCCACGATGCGTCCACGGCCATGGTCGCTGCGAAAGAAAGGTTGTCGTTTCCTTTGTTACGTCGCGCGCAGAGAAGAGAGACCAAATATAAAGGTCCAGTCGCAATAAAATACAGCATGTCCTATCTTATAATGAAACGTCAATAGCATTTTTTTAGAAAGTATTTTGAATCGATTTCTACTTGATAAAAATTTAAATCTTTTGTAATTTTCAAACATTTATAAATATTTTTAGATAATTCCCAAAATAAAAAAATACCAACGAAACAAACTTGATTTAAAACTGAATAAAAAAAAAAAAAGTTTTGTTATATATTTATAAAGTTAAATTTTTTTCACCAGAATTTTTAATATTTATAATTGCTTGTGATTATAAAATTTTCTTAGAATTCAATTCTGAATCAACAAAGAACTTCGAAATAAAATGGGATATAACGTATTTGACATACTATATTTTATCGCATATTTCTTCCATCTCATTTTTATACCTTATTACATTTATTATTCTTGACGCATTCAAACGAGTTGCATCGAAAGTTCTTCCTCGACCGCGTGGGCGGAATCGCATATCGTTGACGTCGAGCAGACGATGTGTTCCTCGCCGATAAGAATTTAATCCCAACAAAATCAACCTTGTAGCTATTAATCTTTTGGTTAAACGATCCGAGTGGATTTTTTTCTCGCAATCTCATCAGCGCACAAACGACGTTACATATACTTAAATATGATTAAGTGTTGCTATTGAAAATAATTTATACGTTGATAGTATAAAGATATCTAAAATTATATATTTAGAAAATTGTTAATGTGTATGTATCTTAAAATTGTTTCTAAATTGTAAATTGAAGCGACAGTTATATTTTTACAACCGATCTTGTGCATCTTCGTACATAATTGCATTTCACGTTTTCAATTTACGTTCTATAATAAATTTGAAATATTGTTAATAATAAGTTATATCAACTATAATTACTAAAATTATAATAGAATTATATATCGTTCCACCAGCTATTATTACAATTATTAAACGAGAAGAGTATATCAAAATGGTATAACTTAAAGAGACACGTATATATTTTACAACGTCCGAGAATCTCATACTTTCAATTTACCAAGAAGCAGGTTTCAATTTCATTTCTGGCGAACGAACATTATCGTCCTGTTACACTATCGTGAAAGCCGATAATTTACAACGTTCTTACAAAATTGCCGTCTTCTTGCAACTCGTTTGAACATAAGCGAACACGCGAACTTTCAGCTGTCACTCGGCTTTCTATGTGCCACCTACGTCGTACGCTAGTGAACTAGAACCACTTACCGATCCTAGTGAAGTTTCGGAAAGCATCTAAGTGACAACATCGGCAAAATGCTGTCGGTGCCGTCTGCGACAAGACGGTCTTTCATATGCTTACTTGCGCTTCACTGGAATCGGAATTTGGCTAGACTGCAAGTCTGCGCTGTCATATGGCGATTATACCTTTCAGGCGAGACTTGATCGACAAAACCGACCACCTTCTTTTTCGTTCCTTGCACGTTGAGCGACGGCATACTACAAGAGCAACGATTTACACAAGAGGAATATTAAATTGCATTTACTTTTCACGAGCAACAGTAGGAGCAAGACAACTCGTAAAGTAATGCTTTGTGGATTCCAAAAATCTCCACATGCTTGCAATAATGATAAAAAGTAATGAAATATTAAAGCAAAAGATTTAGAGAGTAAATAAATTTGATTTGCCAAATATTATATTTCATTGAAGACGATTCTTTAAATCACGAATACCAGCAATACATTCGTAGCATTGGAGATATATTCCAAAATCAATGGCAAATGTAATTGTAAAAAATATTTTAAAAAAATAATTATAAACAAGGTGGTATTTTATTGAATTTTCATTAAAGAGAAATCGATGTCAAATTAGTCAGAAAATATATAAATAACGGAAGTAGTAATCTTTTTCTAGAACACTTCGCATATAAAAACCATATCTTAAAAGCATTAGATTATTTTATTACATATCAATATATAGTATATATATATGTATGTATACATATCTTATGTTCTATTAAAAATACAAGTTATCTTGACTCTTAGCATTACTCGCGACAGAGTGCTGAGAGAAATTGATTGCTCCACAAGAATGTGGAAGATATTTTAAATGCCATACGACATTTCTCAAATTCTTTATAGGTCTTGAAAGTTATGAAAAAGCAAGTATCGTTTCCCACACGAGACAGTTGAATACTTGTGGTCTGCGGTTTCTCTCGAAATATTGTATAAGGCGCCGTGAACTCGCTGTCATTACATTGGACCTTTCTTTACAAATATTTTATAACTATCATTTATCATAAATTTAATATTTCATATTTAATACATATTTCAACAATTAAATGCAATTAAATTTCTAAAAAAAAAAGAAAAAATGCCATGAGCTTGAAGCACTCTGTATATAAATACCAAGGAGAGAAAGGGACTGAAACACGAGACAGCTGACACTACGACAGATAAAGTTTTGTCTACTTTGAACCGTGTAACAAGTTTCCTGTATATACACATTTGTGCAAGAAGGAAAAGCAATTCCAATCATGAACATGAAAGAAATTGAAGAAATACTTTGTTTTAACGCGAGAATAAATTACGATTATATAATATCAATTTATTCTAAATTGCGCAACACATGTATACATCCTTCATCAACATCAGTGGTTTTCAAAACTATTTTTGACAAATACCTCTTATTTTAATGAAATTTGTATATAGAATTTTTTGAGACATAAAAAACAAATTAAAAATTTAAGCATATAAGATATTCTAAGCATAGATCAAATAGGTACATTATAATTTGTATTATAATAACAGGAATTTTATGTATTTAATATATTTTTATCAAAAGGCAAATAGATATAATAATAATAAAAATAATTGCAGTTAAAAAATACTATTCATTATCGTTTAAATCATTACTTGCTGACTTACGTAATTTCAAATTTTGATTACTTAATTTTACCTTACATGTTTATCTTGAATTTCGCCAATTATAGCTTTAAATTATAATCCCAAAAAAAAATTAATTTTAAAATAATCTTATTGTTGTTTTTATTATTGAAGTTATTTGGTGTACCAAATCTTTTTAAAATCTTTTTTATATTATCAATTAAAACGGTGTAAATAAATCGTGATATAGACAGTATGTAAAAATAAATTATATGCTTCCAAAGTTGGAAAAACAATTATTTGAAAATGAAAGTTTTATGTAGTAAAATATTTTAAAATAATACTTCGACATCTATCTAGTAAAAAACATCATTTAAAGAATTATTATTATACATTTTAATACAGATCTCTGAAATATCTTGCAAATTTATACTGTCTATAAATATTAATAGTGTTCATAAATAATAACTAATGTAAAACTCAATAGAGAAAGCATATCGCTTTGCTATATATTATGATAATTAACGCTAAATAAGAAAATTATCGAACCTGTTGGATTTGGGCGTGACGATATCTCTTGTTTCGGAAGTATACTTCCTTTCCGCTCGGCCGCCGTTGAAGAGTTCGACGGTTTCCCTGGTAACAGTTTCCAGAAGAGGTTCACCGCCCCGTCTTCCTTTGCTAAAAGTCCTTTGATCCGTTTTACGGACCATGACTACCCTTGACAGGGGCTGATTGAACTCGTGTCCGTGCATAGTCGGGGGAATCATAGCCAGCGACTGCGATAGAGGACCTCCGATTCGCGGAGATCTGAAACATAAATGATTATAATAATTAACAGCGCATCTATGTGTGCGAGATATGACATTTGAAAAACATAAATAATATTTCGATTATTGCTATATTAAATAGCAATTGTAACACACATACACATTTTATTATCAAAACTTTTAAAGACAAGCGCGTTTACTTGAAATGTTAAGTACTTATTTATTAGATTTTAATTATTATAACTATTATTATTATAACTACTATTTTAATTATTATACTATAATTAATTTTTATGTTGCTTATTTTGTTGATATCAACAGAAATAAAAATGCATAAATCTAATACAATCGATAAATTACAATGTAGTAGAATATAATATTGCGATACTATCTATATTATATTAAAATATAAATCCGTACAAGAGCAATATTATCTATATAAGATCTATATCCATTTTTTTTTTTTTTTTTGAAGCACGTTATTAATCTCATCTTTATTCATCACTATTATTGTGTTTGGCTGTTATGTTCTCCACTTATTTTGCATCGTATGCTTTTCGAAGCATTTGTGCATCATGTTGCAAAATAGCTTGTATTAAACGCTTACTAAGCAGAGAGACCGATAAATTGTCACTATCCCGTTTCCTCTTCATGATCAATGATCACAACACATATTGCAGACCGGTTCTCAACGATACATACAATTAACGCCAGTTGCTAGTGACTTTAATTATTATTATAATAATTGCCTTCTCTATAAACACTTCTGGTCTTTCTTATACGTAAATTAGTATCTCATTTCCTCTATATATTGTCGTATGTTGCGCAAACAAATAACACTTTATATCCGGAGGCGATAGTGAGAGGATACCGAGAGATGTTAAACCGTCTACAAATCGGCGACTATTGCAATCTCATGTAACAATAATATTTGCAATTTCTCTTTTTGTGATGTAAATAATTGTATCACTTATATTCGAGAGAGAAGAGCTCCAAGAAAAAAAAAGGTTTCCGATATTTCTTCTAATATTAAAGAATATGATTGACAAAGCGTATATCTTTAAAAAATGGGAATAGAGGATCTTTCCTCGTAAAAATGTATATTAAAGTGAAATCTCTCGTAAATATTTCTATTCTACAGTAATAGAGTCTAACGCGATACCAATGTTACACTTAAAATTTGAAGCTAATACTAATTGTAATTAGAACGGAATAAGTAGAACGAAATTCCCTTTCGACGTAAATCGTCGCTCGCGTGCGAAACTTTAAATTAGCCGGACGATTAAGCTGCAGCATGCATGCTAAGACTGGGCATGACGACTAAGGCAAATATCCCTCATTACATTTACAGCATCACTTCGTTAACTTGTTTTAACCTCGCGCAATGAGCTTTCCTCATAAGGGATAATTGAAATGCTATTTTAACGATAATATTGTCTTGTTCTCCATTTCAAATTATTCGATAGATTTTCTTAAAAGTACTTTTCTGACACATTTGCTATTTTTTCAACTTTGAAAACGTAAATTTCAAAATTAAAGGAAAGTCAAATGGTATCATTATTACAATTATATATTTTATTAAACCCGCATTTTTCCGCAAAAGTTATGTCAACGAAAATTGTGGATTTAACCACAAATATAAAGTAAAGTTGACACAGAAAGAAAATACTTCTATTAAAAAACTATTTGCTGGAATTAAGGAAAATTTATCGAATCCGATAAAAAAAAAACTGGTGAAAGGTGAACAAAATACGCTGCTAAATTATATTGCGTATACTTTATGTAACATTACGGTGGAAATATGTATCTTGAAATAAACTAACAATTTTTATTTCTATATGTTAAATACTGGCGGCACAATTGTCAACTTACTATTAATATATTCTCGCTTTCTATTATTTTTTTGCACGTTGATAAAGTTTTTCTTTTTTATTAAGATAGAAAAAACTAATAAATCGAGATATCATCGATAAAATCTAAAAGAAAACTTTTTTGAGAAAACGAAATATTTCTTTTGATGTCTTTCTAAATTAGCTCAAACTCTAATGTCACTGAAAAGTATGAAATGTTGTTATATATTAATGAAATGAGATAATCTGAATCAGCTTGCTTTCAAAATCCATTTTCAACATTCGAATCCATTGATCATTGTCAAGCTTTTTCTCGCGAAGAAAGTCGATGACTTCCGATGGATAACGGACTGATGCATTACATTAATAAAAGCACGGCGCGCACAATTAGACTTCTCTATTCGATGCACTTTCACGGCGATCACTCGCGCGGTCAATTTGGAGCAAGGCACTTTCCGCGGCTGTAATATGTATATGAATTTATAACAAAAATTCCATTCGTCAAAATTTATTATCGCAAAAAGATTATTCACCTCACTTCTTCATTTATAAGTAAAACAATATAAATAACTTTTTTATAAATGCGTGCGATCGCTTTATAAATCTATCTTTTTCAAGAAAATACTTTTATATAAGTTTCCAAAAAATCTTAAATTAAAAAGAAAAAATGACAACGACCACTTACGATGTAAACAATTCGACTGACGAAAAATTCGATGTTTTTAACAAATTTTTCGATAAAATCTCATGGTGTTTCCCCGTAGCTCCCGGAGCTCCAGCTGCACTCGGTGTAAACCGCTCGACAGAACGAACAAAACTGGCACGGATCGGCCACGAAACAGAAAGAGAGAGACGGTTCCTCTCCCGGAGAGGAAAGGTGGCCAATTAGCCGTTACTCGGCGCACATGCCTCGACCAACTATTCGATGCAGCTGCAGCAGCACGCTATATCGCGTCGATGCACCGCGCTGCACTGGCCGCGCTCCTCGACGGAGCGACGCTCATAAGTGCACACTCTCTCGCGGGTCTCCCTCGATGGACCACATGCTGCAAATTGTTCAACCACTCTTCGAGCGAAGATCACATTGACTATTTTTATTTGATGAATTGTTGATTTTATCAATTGAAAAAACCGACGTTGTACATCGATTTTACATTCTCAAAAATCACGTTCTCGCGAAATTTAAAATAAACATGTTTGAATATCGCTTTGAATTCTTACTTCAGATGTGTATATAAAAACGTCATGCACTCTTTAATTTAAAAAATCAAATTTTGTAAACAAAATGTTTCCCTTGTCATTTACGATCTGTGAAATATGGAACGTAAAATTTAGAATGTGCAAAAGTATGACCAGAAAGAAAGGCCGCGTAACGCGATGGTAAAAAGAATGGCTTCGTGCATGATGCGTGCACAGGTTTCTTCCGCTTTCGCGACAAAGCGTGCTACTGTGCGGCTCGCGGAAAGCAGCAACATAATAATAATTCAAGAACGAAGACGTACGGCCGAGCGTGTACCGCTATTCCGGCTGACCGGAATCACTGCTCTGGAACAACACGATATCGTCTCCTGCTCGACTCGAGAGTAGAAGCGCATTGATCTCCAGCATGTGTAAAACTACCGAATAATAGTAGTGTGGAATTTACGGCTCCAGATTCACTATTAAAAATCACAATTGTTCGCTACGAATATATGCGAAGCTACTTAATCTCCAATTTTATTTAATTTTTATTCTAAATTTTTGAATTTTATTTATTTCCTAATACTTATTTAACAAATAATACAAAACAAATACTGTAATTTCTCACCTTCTAGAGCCATGTGTAGCATATTTATTTATATGTTATCAAAAATTGTAAACATATATATTAATAACGTCTAAAGAATTTTTCCATATTATTAAAATTACCAAGCGCATTTATGATATAACTTTTCCACGGTTACCCCATTGTCACGGTTTTTAATTAATTTCATAAACATAGTATTGTAATAAATAGTGCTAGGTTGAATAGCCAAAAATCTCTGAAATCTCATTAATTGTAATTTAAAAAAAAATTTTAATAATATATTTATCTAATTTCAAGCTTAGGCACTTTCACATATATAAAAACTATAGCAGCAGTGAAATGCCAAGAAGGCATATCGCATTCTTTCCTGTAACTCTAATTATCTGAACAATTTATCGGCAAACTTAATTTATAGCAACAGCACGTGCCGGTATGCAACTATGCTCGCATAACAGGCGGAATATTCAAACGCACAGATTATCGAAATATCTAATTAACACGATGATAAGAGGAAACCTTACGAAACGCATAGGACAGAATATTTCCGGTCGAGAGAAGAGATTCTGTTTTGCACGCTACTTTCGTTTGTATTCGAAGAATGGCCAGTTCTTCGCCAATCTCCTCAACGAAGAGGAAACTATTGCGTTGATCTCAATAATAATCTCTGTCGATCGATCCATCGCGATTACGCGACCGTTGTCCGGTCTTACCTTCGTTACATCATCCCGACCTTCGATCAAACTGTTATTCTTCGATGCACGTATAATGAATTTTCCGACGACCTTGGGAACGCTATCTTCATCTTTTAATACTCCATTACGTGATAAGAAAATGTTTAAAGTTTTATTTACATATTTTTTACTAGAAAGCAATCTACTTTTAATAGTAATTTACTTGGATAAAAATAAATTGTCGGAGATTTAACAAGATTGTAATGTTAAATATGCCTTGCAGACACAGAATAAATTCAGATAAACTGATTGACTTGATAAAAAAAAAAATATGTATTTTTTCTAGAATGTTATATACTTATCTCTTTTTTTACATTTATGTTACATTATTTTTAATTCTGTAAACGAATTTATAGTTAGATGATCATGATTGATTATGAAACCATTTGATACAAATATAAGTTTAATTATATTTATATATAAATTATTTATATATAAATAATATATAAATAAATATAAAAATGTGTAGATTATTATTGTCTTTTTAATTAGTGAAAGCGATAACACAGTACTATTTTTCAAATTTCGCTGAAATGAATATAGTGAATTGCGTGTTTGTTACGTAAATATTTCGGCAATAAAATGCAAATAGATAATGAGGATAATTGGACTATTTGCGAAAATAATACATCTTTTCAAATTATCCCAATTAAAACAAAAAAATTACTAAAAG